AGCGGGCAAACACTTTTCACACCACTGTAGATTTGAATATTATGTCAAGTCATGAATCTTTATGTTTTGGTTCTATTCTGCCATATCTGTGTGCTTTTCATGCTCATACATAAGACATAAGAAAGAAAATGGGCTTAACCATTACACACTGGACCACTTTTCATTGAATGTATTATTACTTCTACCAAACGAAGAAACAAGCTTTAAAAATACATAAATTATTTAAATACCCCATTTTCTGTGTCACCATTGCTAAAGTTTGCGAATTTAGAGAATGCCTAAGAAAACCAGTGTCCGTATCTTGTTCTGTTATTCTGTGGGAAGATAAAACACTCCCTGTCCATAATGCAGCATGTAAAAGAAGAGATTCAAAGGGGTGTATTGATTAATTGACAGGAAACAATGAGATTAATCCTCAACTCTGATTTCTTTCACTGCCATATCTTATTCTTCTTTACACCAGTAGTTGAAAGTGTGTTAATAGCTGCTCTGGGTCTGCAAGTTTTTCAAACACAAAGATCGATATGTGACAGTATGGGGTCTGTGTGTGTGCCAGTGCTGGGGTTTGAAGAAATGGCAGGGTTCAGTAATGACTAGGGATGGGTATCGAAAACCGGTTCTTGTTAAGAACCGGTTCCCACTGTTTCAATTCATTGGAATTGTTTGCCATTTTTGCAAACGATTCCCTTATTGATTCCAGTCGCCCCGAATGACGTCACCACGTTACGGAGCGTCATTTAACTGGCAGAAAACACGGCGCCTAAGCGGCTCAAACGCTCAAAAGTTTGATCATACTTTACGAGAACTGATGACAACAGGGCAACTTGCAATACTTGCAAAGTAGATACTTCATTTAAGGGAGGAAACACTACAAATATGCAAAAGCATTTGTTCACAAAACACACGATAACCTTAAATGAATGTCATGTTTTTAATTCCGCTCCGGACTCGTGAATCTCAATCGTTTGCACGTCCTCTCCCGTTAATTAAGGTAAATAATCAACTAACAGTGCATATTATGTTAGCGCGTTCTGCCTTATTACAAAACCTGCCATTACTGTGCATTTAGGTGACCATGATGAGAGAGACAGACAGAGCCTGGCTCAGATGCTGGCAGTTCTCACTGCAGTCTACCGGTAGCGTCTCCTTTCAGGCCAGGATAGACGAATGTCACCGAGCAGTGACTAAGTTTGTGGTAAAAGGGACATTACTGGATATTCTTGTGTAATTGCTACAGAATAATTTATGTTATACTTGGTTATTGCTACAGAAGAATATTTATTTTATTATTTTACATTTACAATTTTTTTTCCTGGGGACCCTGTGACACCCCATTGAAGAGCCGTAGGCTGTGGATCTCTTAAGATCTCACTGCTGGGTTTGTAAGGCCATGTTACTCCTACATTTCTATCTTGTTCAAAGAGAAGATATAAAACAAAGTTCTAAGCTAATCGACCTTAGTGTTCTCCTTTTTTAAAAAGAATCGATAAGAGAATCGAATCATTAAACAGAATCGAAAATGGAATCGTAATCATGAAAATCTTATCAATACCCATCCCTAGTAATGAGGGGAGTTTTGACATGAACAGGCAGCTGTGCATTGGGTAATAAGATTTGTTAAGAGCAGGAGGAGTTGGAAAAATGGGTGGGTGAATGAGGGGTTGGAGAAAGAAGAGGTGGAGCTGTCAATACCAGGTCTTTATCCTCCATTAAACGTTGATTTAATTCACTCATGTCAGGTTTGTCTAGTGAAAGAGATTGGTGAAATTAGAGAGCCACCAGGATGAGACAGGAAAAAACAAGGTGAAACAGGACAAGGTGTGAGCAACGGCAAGATGAAAGGAGACTAGAAGAATCACTGCACCAGAGGAGCACCATTTAGTTATAAATCTTTTAACATCCATAAAAAGGCTAAAAAAAGAACCCCAATTACTAATAGTAAATCTTCAGTAATTTTAAAGATTGATATTTTGCCAAATCAGAGGGTTGTTTTTTTTTAATTTACACCCTTGAACTCAACTTTGAAAAAACTTATCTCAAATGTTCTGTTCAAAGGAATGCTGACAAATGTAGGAAAGTCCAGTATGTCACGAGTGACAATCCAAGAATACAGATTGCAGTAGCCACGGATGAACAATGATTAGCAACATAAAGTTTTTAAGGGTGTTCATATGCTGTTAATATACAGAAATTTCTGCTATTTCAGGATTTGGAGAAATGCCTACTTTTTAAAATTGGCTTCTCTTCCTCTTTTGGAACTAAAAAAAAACAGATGTAAGGGAGTGTGGTCATTTTGTGTGGTTAAATCAGCTTATTGTATCTCTCCTAATTTAACGGGCAGCTATAAAGTTGCTACACAAAGCATTTAAAATACACCATGAAATATAAAAGCATTTCTTTTTCTTCTGTACAAATCATCATCTTCATCATTTATTTACTACAGTGATCTGAGATCTGTGAAGTTCCAAAGCTGTTCGGAGTGGCTTCATTTTTATCGTCAAAGAAAAAATGCTCTTGTTTGACAATGCCAGCTGTATAGGTTGATTATGGTTTGCTTAATTAACATTGCTTGGAAATGAAACTCCATTCTGTAGAGACACTACAGACCGCTTTCTAAATTTTCTGTTTAGATTGTGTTTCATTTGTTATAATAGCTCATCTTTATTGAGTCCCAACAGCTTACTGTATCTTTAATGCTATCCCACTTCAAGCCTCCCTATAGACAAACACAGACACACACAGGTCATTTTGATTAATCCGGCACAGGTTTCACATTGTGCTAGTTTCCTTGGCTACACTAAACAAAATTGCTGTCAGGATCTCTCTATGTGAAATCCATATTGAGGTCCACGACAGAGATCCAGTTGTGCCTGCTATCAATTTATAGTGCCATATTTACCTTGTTGTTGTTTGAATTTACATCTGAGAAATTGGTTCTCATTATCTTAAGTCTGTGATTTTGCAACTGCTATGTATGCATCCAGACAGGGCGCAAAATGCCAGCTACACTCAAGAACACCAGGGCCAGCGCAGATTTTGGCACAAAACATCTGAACGGAGTCACCCAGCTTTGAAATAAAATGTTTGAACAGATAAAACCAAGATGCACTTGTGCCAGAATGATAGAGAAAAGTATGGAGAAGGAAAAGAACACACACTGAGCCAAAGCATTACACATTGCCTCCACCATGTTTAACAGGTAATCTTATGGGCATGGGCATTCATGGCTGCCAGTGGAACAGTGCTATGCTACTGCTGATAGAAGTAGTGGGATAAATTCTGAAGTGTACAGGGTTACACTTTCTGCTGAAGTTCAGACAAATCAGATGGCATTTTATAGTGCAAATGGATTACGACCCAAAGAAAACTACAAAAGCAACCCAAGAGTTTCTCAGTCACACGATCTCAGTCAAGCAGAGCGTGCTTTTCAGTTACTGATGACAAAACTGAAACCCACAAACAAGCAGCAGCAGCATCTAAAAGCGGCTTCAGTAAGGACCTGGCAGAACATTTCAAGGGAGGAAACAGCATTTGGTGATGTCCGTGATTTCCAGACTTCAGGCAGTCATTGCCAAGGATTTTCATCCATTTAAACCAATCCTTACATGCAAATCTATGTTCATTTGTCCAGTTACTGTTGAAGTTCTGAAAATGGAGGACTATCTTTAAAAATAGCTTTAATTCCTAAATCCTTAAAACATGACTTTTGTTAAACCCCTTGAATTAAAGTTGAAGGTTTGCTGTTTAATTGCATATTGACATTTGATTTAAAATCCACTTTGGTGATATAGAGGCAAAATAAAATGTAAGAAAAAGAAAAATTTGTCATTTTCCATGGATCTAAACTATAGCCACAAAAATACCACAATAGGTTTATATTCATTGTGTTTCAGAAAGCAGAATATTGCCAATAGTGTTGCCTTTTCTTTTTATAGTTTTTATAATAAAATTTTGAATATTTGCTGGGTCAGTCTGGGGGTTTATGACAAACAGCAACTGCTTTCCTTTTGACTGCTAGAACACAAAATACCGTGAAATGTATATGAAAGTTTTTGCAACTTACACTTGAAGGTTGCCGAACACATTTCTATCACTTTCTTCAAACTTCTATCAGTTGAACCTGTTTTCGTCATGTCTTCATGTTATTGTGTTGTTTCTTTGTTCAGATCTCCCTTGAACATTCTGCCTTTTGTTTTTCATAGAACACCTTAAACAATGGATTCAACAATTTCCTATAAAGCACCCATTTGAAGTTAATTTTTTTCACTCAGCTGAAACGATTTAATTTTCACTACAAGAGGAATAAAGCAATGTAAATCTGAATGATGCCGTTTACCATTCTAAAGCTGTTTTCCACATCACAGCATGTCAATATGGTAGTACTGATCTTTAACTACTAAAAGCAGCAAAGCTACTCAGTGAAACGCAGTCCTTCATATAATGTAAAAAAAGACAGACAGAGAGAGAGAGAGAGAGAGAGAAGAGTTTAAAAGAAGAAATGGGTCAAAAGTGGAATACACTCCAAAGTGTCTCAGACAGCAATACATAAGGTAATTGTTCTGGCTTTAATAAGCAAACACAAGTACAAGTAGTGATCATAGCATTTCTGTCTGTTGCTGGGCCCTGATAAAGTGGATTAATGAATGACTGCAGGTGTTGACTTTTTTGTAATTAATAGTCTTATAATTGGACAAATTAATGTGCTGCCGGATGAAATATGGGAGCAGACATATGAGGAAAACAGTTGTCTCTCAGGAGGAGACCAATTTGAACTCACATAATGAAGAAAAACTTAAACTAAATCACAGCTTCCCTCCTTCCATCTGCTGCTGTTCGTCTTCTTGTTTGTCTACAGAGCCCAAGTCACCACAGTCGTTCTCATTTTGCAGCATAAACAATAATAGCTGAGTGAGATTTCTCATCATGCAGATAAACAGAATAAGTATAATCCAGTACCATTGTGTGATCAGATTTATATCTTGTCCTTTCTCTGTTTGCAGGTTCCTGTGACTCTCAGGGTCGACTGACGCAGCCATGGGCCAGTTACTGCGTTTTTGAAAGAATCTATACTCCCCCTCCTCTTCCTTCTTCTTTCCTCACCACACTGAGCTGGAAGTTGACTCATCCACAGTCAGAGAGAGGTGTCTCCTTCTATTTATCCACACACCATGACAAGCATTCTTCTTCTGGTTCCTGGCCAGGCAAGGTGGCCACTCCCAATGCTATTCTTGCATATTGCCCTTTTTCTGCTGATGAGGGGTTGTTGTCATGCAGCCCCCTCTGGCCCAGAGTCTGATTTGTGTTCCACAGTAGTCCAAAGCCGCTTTTTTGGCTTTTTCCTGTCTTCTTCAGTGTTTCCCGCCGTGCCTTGTTCCTGGACCCTACAGAACCCCGATCCACGACGCTACACAATCTTCATCAAAGTGACTAAACCCACTCAGCACTGTATGGCGCAGCAGCTTCGCACATTCCAGTATGATTCCTTCCTGGAGACTACACGCACCTACCTAGGCATGGAGAGTTTTGATGAAGTTGTGAGGCTTTGTGATACATCTGCGCCTGTGGCCTTCCTGGAGGCTGGGAAACAGTTCCTACAAATGAGGAAAGGACATCCTAGGGCTGATATGGCAATCACAGAGGGAAATGGAGATTTCAAGACAGAGTATCTGGTGGTGGGGAAGCGCAACCCTAGCATGGCAGCCTGTCAGATGCTGTGCCAGTGGCTTGAGGACTGTTTAACCTCCAGTACATCCAACAGACCCTGTGGCATCATGCAGACTCCATGTTTATGCTGGGACCAGCCACCACTACTGAGTGAGGGTGATAGCTGCTATCACAATGGAGTTTATCTTGAAAACTGTTTACCCAGTGTGAAAGAGAGTGGAAAAGATGTTGAGATAAATGGTAAGTAGAAATGCGTTCGCGGTTGTTTTTGCTAAAAGTATTTGATTGCTGTTGATTCACTGTTAAAATATCAACTGCATCTCTTCCCAAAAAATCCCTGCCTTCCTGTAAAATGAGGAGAAACAAGAAATGCTTTCAACAAACTATTTGCACTAGATTGGTCTGTGGCTGAACCTCAGTAGGTCATCAGTGGTGTTTAACATGGTGCTCCCTCCAAAGTAATGGAGAGTGACATCAAAATGACATCTTCAGTGGCAATCAAGCTGGAGAAAATATGTATTATTTGTGAAAAGTGAGAACAATTGTCCTCGAGTGCACTGGCTATAGAAGGGAGAAAGAGGCAAATGGAAGGTTTAAGGTGTCATCTGATGTAAGCAAGATCTGTGACCTTGCACCATATTTCATCCTTCTGCGGTCCAGAAAGAGACATTTGATCGGCCTCCAGGAAGCTTTTGGGAACAGAGGAGAATCAAGTGGTGCTGATACTGGATAGCTTTGAGGATACTCAGAGCTGGGGGGAGGGGGAGCAAAGAGGAAGAGAGATGGAGAGAAAGACAAAAATGCATTGGGCTGGCTGAGGGCCTGTGGCTTGAAGTGTAATTGTCTGCTGCTTGAACCCAGTCCCCCCTCCCCCAGCAGACAGGATGTGGCCTGACATCTCTATCCCGGCTTCATCAGGACTATGGCCAGAGGGATGGAACATTTCTCACCCCCTCCATTTCAACCCCCTAACCTTTCCTCCATCTATCTCTCTTTTTTCTCTGTTCCCTCACTTACTTTTCCTAATCAGCCTGTGGCCTTATTTCCTTGGCCCTCCTCCTCCCACTTCTCCTCTGAGCCACCATTGCTGCCTCCCCATCTTTCCCTCCCCAGGCTGATAGTGGGCTGATACTGAGCCAGTCGTGGGAAGCCAACCAAGCAGAGAAGATGTTGTGGTGGGTATCTCGTGCCTTATCCTCCTCCAGTCTCCGAAGCAGCTAATATCCCCTTGCCACTCCAGCCTCCTCTTCGCTAGTTATCATCCTTATATAATCCTGCTTATGGTGCTCATCAGTGGGGTGTGGGCTGTTTGTGCCTTAAGGTGTGAAAAATAAAAAATAAATATAACATCCACTGTTGGCTTCTGTGGCGATAAAGAAGGACACATTACGGCTTTTCTCCCTGTTTGCTTCAGCCCATCCTGGCAAAGCATCTCATAGATGATAATCCTATGTTCAGAGTGAAAGAGTGACATTGGAACTGTGTGAGACCTCAAATGGAGGAGGCAAGCAGTCTGTGAATATTTGGTTGGATTGGTGACTGGTAGAGTGAATTGGAAGATGAAGATAAAGAGTGGCTGGGGAGATGTAATAGATTCTGTGTGAAAAGGTCGGACTGTCAGATGGTTATGGCCAACTGCGCAGCAAAGAGGGGACCAGAGGGGTGATGGCTGTGAATGATGGATGAAGGAAAGACAATAGGCATAGAGATGAGAGAGAGAGGTTAGGGGAGGATAAAGGAAAGTATAGAGGCTGAGAGGTGAGCTGAGAGGTGAGATATTTGAGATGGACGAGGCTTGATTAGGATAAATGTTGTTTGCAGTTAGACCTTTGTAGTCTCAGGACCCTCAGTAACCAAAGACCTCCTAGATTATAATCTGTGTTCCAGCTTCCTTCACTCCCTCTCTGCAGGTGTGTGGAAGGTCCTGTCCAGCAGCACACAAGCTTTGCTCATGTCTAGCGGATGGATCCTAGATGAGGAGTTTGGCTTCTTATAGAGGGTTCTGAAGCATTTCCTTGTCCTCATACAGCCATAAGCATAAAAGGTCACCAAAGTAAAACTACAAAGAAAAAGGGAATTTATCTGATTGTCCTGGTAGCTTGTAATCCTTTAATTCTTGTAAATTAAAAATTTATGCAAAGCCCACTCTTTGCAGTGTTTGAGAGCTGTTATCTGCTGCCTCCTATGGGTAGCTGTACAATCTCAGTGTGTGCTGTTCGCAGTCAAAACATAATCCAACATTGGACATTGCATTTTACCTCGCAGAGTTACTGTTTAGTGGTACTGCAGGAAATAGCTTATTTATTGTGTAGTTAAGCAGAAGGCAGAAGGTGGGTGTGGAATTCATCAGATTTTCATCAGGGGAGGTTTGTATTTCGATACAAATGCAAATGATGATTGCCTTGAAGTTAAATTTAGTATAAGTAAGAATAATCTTACCCCACTTTTAACCCTTACTGCCCTAGAAGCAGCAAACTCTTATTAAAACACAACTGTACAATAAAAAACACAAGTCTCACACCTTAATTGTTACATATCTGCATTTCACAGATTTGCCAGTAAAAAAAAAAAGTAGTTATCGATCTTCAGACAACAGCGATTCCTAAAAATTTGGGTTTGAAATATAAACCAAAAGATAATGCACTAATCAGCATAGCTTATAAACCCATATTATCATCACAATAGAAAATACAAAAAATATGAAATGTTTAAACTTGGATATTTAACTGTCTTGAAAAATATGACAGCAACCTGTCTGAAAATAGTTGGCACAAAAGACTGGAAAAATAAGTGCTATTAAAAAGAAAAAAGCTGATGGAAATTCTTCTTGTCAATTAGGTTAACTAGCAACAGGTCAATAGCAAAAAGAGCATCTCTGAGAGGGAGAGTTTCTCTGCAGTAAAGACAACGAATTAAATTTAATAGATATTTCACTACAGTTGAACACATGCAGTTTGTTGCAATGAATTTCAACAAACTGTATCTAAAACAGTTTGTGGGACAATTTCACAATTCTGTTCATACTAACAGTAATGTAAAATTGTGATGACTTTGATTATGAAAATCTGGAGGAATCTCTGTATGCTAAGGACAAATCAAATTTTAAATCTTATTTTTAGAAAACATAGATCCTGTGTTGTTTTCAGTGCTCAATTCAAAAGTCTGCATCACTGATTCATAGCAGAAGAGTCCAGGCGCCAAAATGAGCTAAACAACAGGTTGGGCAAAGTGTTTTCCTTCAGCCCAATCTGCTGTATATGTGTTAAATAAAATATGGGTTTCTGAGATGTGCAAACTCTACACTCTACTTCGATTTACATTTTGCATACAGTCCTAACTTTTTTGGAATTGATGTTTTATTTGGCAGGTGTGTAAGACTTTTATTTAGGAAAAGGTGGCTCAGCGGTCACGTTTCTACACATCAAGTTTTATATAGGACACCCTTTCTAAGCAGCTGCTTATGAAGTCACTTTGCTACTTCCCTCACCTTTCATGCTGTATCTGTCATTGTGTCTGGTGTTACTGGTGGCTGCTCTGCTCTGTGTTGCTGTTCCCTCCCTGACTTTGGCTTTCTATGTATGCATATGAGAAGGTGGGGCATTATCAGAACAAAGCAATGCCACCAAATATATATTATTGCATCACTGCAGACTATAACGATGTTAGTTTTAATCTGGAAACTTTCTCTACGCCATTTCCAAAATCGTTTATGTAGTCATTCTTATCCAGGCTCTTTTTGTGGATGTGTATGTGGCCATTTTTCTCTCCTTATTTTTCATCGTCCTAGCCTTTGTCCTGCATTCAAAGCTTGATTTGGTTGACTACATTTGAACAGGGGGAAACAACCATAAATCACCAAATCTGCTCCAGATGTGGGCTGTAATTCAGTGGTTTCAAAATGAAAAGATGCATTAATGAATGTTTTTGTCATCTTGACGCCACCCTCTATGGTGTGGATCAGATTCAGGAACTGTGAGATTAATGGACTGTGAGCCGCCCATCCGACTGTACTGGGCTTTCACTGGGACTGTTTTGTTTTTTGTCATATGTATGCTGTTGGTCTCATGTGAAAGAGGCTATAATAAAAAAAGGGTGTGATTAATGATCGTTTTAAAGATGTTTAAAGAAAAGATTAACAAGGAAATTGCAGAAGCGAGTGCTATTGATGCCTCTTTTTATTTGTGCATTCAACTCCCATCGATAGTTCCTTCTGTTCAAACTCGATGACAAATGAGTGTGGCTGGCCTCTAGCAATCACACTACTATGTCAACACTATCATTAATAGAAAGCTCTTAAACTGTAGTGACTGGGATGTGGCCTTTTGATCCAGAGTAGAAAGGATGTCAATCTGAGAGAGTCTCACTTTCCCTGTGACCATGAATATTGGTATGAGGTATGAGCTTCCTCAGTTTAGAGAGAAAATGTTATTCTGAAATCTAAATGTCCTAACACAGGAACGGTTAGGAGTCTGTGTTTTACACATAGGAAACTTGCTGCTTCTGCACTATGTGAGAAATCCTCAACCTTTAAGATGAGAGGACTGATGACTTCAGGGCTATTTTTGGAATGTTGTAATATTCAAGCGGTCAAAGTTAAAGGTTTTGCAACAAAAATGATGCCTGTCGGTAGCTTCACTGCAGTGATATTGTCCCTGAAATTCAATTTTGGTAGAACTCCAATAAGTGGTTGTGCATGTGTGGTGGCAGTGTGAAAGGATTCATTTCTTAGCCCTCAGTGGACAGCAGGGGAGGCAGTGAGTGATTAAAGGATGTATTGGAGCGATGTGAAGAGATGAGAAAGCACATGACTCAATTTGAACAAAAGAGACACATTTGAGAAAGTGCCAGAAGTGCCCAATAAAGTTAACTGAAGGGAAGGACAACAAAGGCAAGTCCTCTGTGATGCCATGTGATCATCTGAGTCATGACCTTGGTTGCACATCATGCACTCTCACTTTCAGCTTTTCAATTTTCAAGCGTGAAATATTTAATAAAGCAGAAAGGCTTGAAAAATAACCAAACAAGGACACGGTGTCACAGATGGAAAGCACTCTGCACCAAGACACAGAGAGGTGGCTCAGTCACAGTGTAACCCAACTGAAAATGTTCAGGTCTGAAATCAATATTACAGAACATCTTAATACAAAATTCATCAATTTATCCACGCAATGTTATGCTAGATCTGAAAATGAATTATTCAAAAGTTGCATTTCTTCTTAGAATTCATCAAAAACCATTAC